TAGGGGAGGGTGACCAACCGCAACCCTAGACACCCATCCCCGACCCTAATGAGGCTTTTGGAGGCACTGAACTATGTGACCTAGATGGTCCGGATCCGTTTTTGCCCGATAGATGTTAATTCTCTGTATGGTTCCCTCTCTCTATCACCACCCGGTAAGATCTGTTGTTCGTTTATCTTTAGCTGGTGGTTGCACCGTTAAGGCATCTCTTCTTGAAAAGCAGATAGGCAATAGTCCTGTTAATCAATCCGAAATGTTGCAGTCCTTAAGAATCGGTTCAGCAGTGAAATCCGGAGCTAAAAACAGACTAATGTGGGACGTATCATCAGTGTGGGTAATCAGAGTCATTGATCTTGGATAGGAACTCATTTTATCTAGGTATTACTTGACGACCAGTCTGTTTCGTGGGTGCTAAATTTATTTACTGGTTGTCCGTTTTCGTCAACGATTCTCCTCTGGCTACTAGTGCACAGTCAAGCGCTGTCTATGATGGGACGACTGTTTGATGCTGGTGACCTTACTTAACGGCGGACTGGATTCGTGCTGGTGGTTTTCAAGGAGGTAGCTCGCCACCTACTCAGACATTGCCCTTCTCACTCCCCTGTGATCATCCGCGACCATTTCAGTGAAGCTATGTCCACCCGTTTCCTATCCGCGTAGACCTTCGCTGACTATAGAATTATGGTAGCCAACGGTTGTTGGTATTCTGGATACATCCTAAGGTTACGTTGCTATCAAGCCACGCTCCCCTAATTCGTTGAATGTGTTTCTTTTTCAAAACCAAAATTCGCCCTCTGACGCTGTGGGGCTGTACTGTACGAGCGCATAAACGGATACCATAGATAAGTGAACTTTTTCCGTGTATTGTTGTCTTTTGGAGTAAAGTACAGTCGACTACAGACCGTGTTCCGATCGGAAAACGTGTACACAACCCTGAAACTCACCCCACAATCCCAATACTGTAAGGAGATGGTGGCAATTCCTGGATTTGGTGATCAAACCGAGCCCCTGAGCTATCACTACGGTTTTTTGTGCTCATTATATATGCCCCCAAAAGAAAGAGATGAATGTGCCTGCTTTTTCCATTCGCCTAATTCGAGTACCCTATAGCATTACCGAGGTCACACTGTCATGCTCTATTTGATAATCATAACGCAACAGCCTAACTTATGAGTTTCGGATTCAACTGGGAAACGGAACTTCTCGACAGCTTCACGCT